AGCTGCTCCCCGTCGCCCGGGTCTGCGGGTCAGACCAGGGAGAGGGGGAGCAAAGCCTCAGAGGACGCCTGCAGCGGGACAGCCGCGGCGCGCCTGGGCTGTCCCACTGCGGGCGTCCTCCGCGGCTTTGCTCCATGTCTCCCTGGTCTGACCAGCAGACCAAGGAGACGGGGAGCAGCTTTTCTCGCCCCGGAGAACGCGGGTGGCGGGACCGCGACTCATCTGGGCGTCCCGCTGCTCCCGTCCTCCGGGGCGAGAAAAGCCCCGTTTGTAACTGCGGATCCGACATAAGTCGGATCCGCGTAACTCGGGGACTGCCTGTAAATCCCCCACGGATTTTGCTATTCCAAAGTATCTAATCTGCATCCCTTTTCCGGAAAAGGGATGCAGTGTAGACACAGCCCCATAGTCCTTGGCTATAGGAAAACCCAATCACCACACATTTTAACATAAGAACATAAGAACGGCCATACTGGGTCAGACCAAAGATCCATCTAGCCCAGTACCCTGTCTGCCGACAGTGGCCAACACCAGGTGCCCCAGAGAGGGTGGACCGAAGACAATGATCAAGCGATTCGTCTCCTGCCGTCCCTCTCCAGCTTCTGACAAACAGAGGCCAAGGACACCATTTTATCCCCTGGCTAATAGCCTTTTATGGACCTAACCTCCATGAAATTATCTAGCTTCTCTTTAAACTCTATTATAATCCTAGCCTTCACAGCCTCATCTGGTAAGGAGTTCTACAGGTTGAGTACCCGCTGTGTGAACAAGAACTTTCTTTTATTAGTTTTAAACCTGCTACCCATTAATTTCATTTGGTGTCCTCTAGTTCTTCTACTTAGGGAACTAATAAATAACTTTTCTTTATCTGCCCTCTCCACACCACTCATGATTTTATATACCTCTATCATATCCCCCCTCAGTCTCCTCTTTTCTAAACTGAAAAGTCCCAGTTACTTTAACCTCTCTTCATATGGGACCCGTTCCAAACCCCTAATCATTTTAGTTGTCCTTTTCTGAACCCTTTCCAACATCTGAAATCAGTCAAGAATGTATCACGTACCTAAAGTGTATTCATGTTTTTATATGGAAATGGAGAAGTTTTATTAAGAATTTTGTTAAAATCTCCAGCTAAAATAATATGGTGCCACATGGTATTTATACTCATAAAAAATGTATTAAAAAAAATTGGGATCAGTAGTAGAGATTGGCAAAAATGATTATAAAACTGCAAATTCAGTCTTAAGGACAGCAAGTCCACCATATGATCAAAACATTAACATTTAATTTTTCTGCATTAATATAGAAACACCCCTCACTTTAGAAATAAATCTATTAGAAATTAAGAAGTCTAGCCAATTTCTATTAAGTTTACAAGCTCCAGGGTCTGTCAGATTCATTTCCCGGAGCATGGCAATGCCAGCATTCTCTTTTTTCAGTACTGAATTATTATTTTTAATTTCAGTGGGTGTTTTAAAATTTCTTTATCTTCCAGGAAATGCTTTAAATTATTGGAGTCATCATTGTTAAAATATAATGGATACAACATAAAAGTCATTCTGTAAATAAATGAGAAATTACAAACAATTCTTTCATAGCAAAAGTTAAATAATCTAGGTATAGGGTGTCACTTCCCAGAACACAGGGTGCGTCTAGACTGGCAAGATTTTGCGTAAAAGCAGCTGCTTTTGTGCAAAAACTTGCCAGCTGTCTACACAGGCCGTTTGAATTTGTGCAAGAGCATTGACTTTGTAATGTACAAAATCAGTGCTTATTGTGCAAATACTTTCATGCTCCAGCTCGGGAAAAATAATACTTGCGCAAGAGTGCCAGTGTAGACAGGGAAGAACTGTTTTGCACAAAAAAGTCCCGATGGCTAAAATGGCGATCGGGGCTTTCTTGCACAAAATCGCATCTAGACTGGCCACAGATGCTTTTGCGCAAAAGCACTTTTTGTGTAAAAGCATCCGTGCCAATCTAGACGCGCTTTTGCAGAAATACTTTTAATGGAAAAACTTTTCCGTTAAAAGTATATCTGCAAAATCATGCCAGTCTAGATGCAGCCATATTGTACAGGAGTGGGAAAGAAATTTCCAGCATGGAAGGGTAATAAAATGGGAACGGGGGCAGAAAGATGAATTAAGTAAGTAAGTAAACAAAATAAAGATACTGCAGAAAGAAATACACGTTAATATCACACAATGAAAAAGAAGAATTTGTTTAAACAGTCTAAAAATAAATACTTGAAATCCAGAGGGGATGGTTGGATCAGGTGGAACTTTGAGATATTCACAGCCCCTGAGGCCCCAAACATTCCAATTACAGTATAATAAACTGTCTGCTAACCATCATTAATTGATAAGAAAGCATCATCTAATAAATAGAGCCCTATGTAGATAAAAAATGAGGATCTGCATCTGATCCGCATCTGCGCAACTCAACTCATCATCGGATTCACAATCCAGATTTTACTTCTATGGGGCATTATAGTTGGTTCACTGCTGAATAACAAAGTATTTATGATTTTGGGATATTCAATTTTTTTTACAAAGTCAAATTTCCCTTCAGAAAGTAATATTTTTGCAAAAAATATCATTTTCTTGAAAACCCAGTATCTAATCGGAAACATTTGAAGCAGAAAACTTAGAAACAGCCTGATGAATGACCAACTACCACATAATTGAAAAGGCATTTTTCATTGGTCTTGCTTCCTGGAATTGCAGAATTAAATGAGTAACTAAAATGTATATGATTTTCCTCAGTGTAGCAATATTTTCCTGTTTCTTTGTTATATTTGTGCGTGCATGCTTTATTATATTGCTGGTGGTGGTAATCTCTGCTCTCTCTTGGGCTTGAAGCTGGTACCTTAACTCATACTCAGTAGTACTTATTTCATGAGGAAACTCAATCAACTTTAGTGAATCTGCTTGTGAAGTAAGATACTACTCAACATAAGCAAGAGGATCAGCATCTGTCCCCCCTTTTAATTTTTTAAAGGCCTAGAACATAATTCTAGATTTAGGACTCCAAACCTGATTCCATGTTTAAATTTCAAGAGCTCCTCCTTATCTCTGGCCAATATCCTGGCTCCAAATACCACAGAGGTTTGAAAAGAGAGATTAAAATCCAAAGGGGCTTAAAGCATCACACATAGCTCTGGCTTTATGTTGGTATAATGCCACTTTTTGACAAATGGTGTTAAATGGACTCAGTGCAGTAGTATATTGGGACTTAAATTCAGAGCTCAATTTTGCAGGTTCAGGCTTCTTCTAAAAGCAAAGCAAAGCAAAGCAAAGCAAAGCAAAGCAAAGCAAAGAAATACTCTGGCATTTGCTTGTAAGAATGCTATCAATAGTGACAATTCATACCAGTTGTGGTGGTAGCTTTATAACCACCAATGAGGAAACAGCATCCAGACTACATACGATTTCTCAAACATTAACAAACAAACATGAGTGGACAAAAAGACTAGAAAGCATACATATTTGAAATACAATAGAATAGAATATAAAAACAAAACTGCATTTTTAAACAGGCAATTTAAAATACTGTCCTGGTAATTAATAGTTCAAAATACAATGGCTATGTCTACACTGGCATGATTTTCCAAAAATGCTTTTAATGGAAAAGTTTTCTGTTAAAAGCATTTTCGGAAAAGCGCATCTAGATTGGCACGGATGCTTTTCCGCAAAAGCACTTTTTGCGGAAAAGCGTCCGTGGCCAATCTAGACGCGGTTTTCCGCAAAATAGCCCCGATTGCCATTTTCGCGATCAGGGCTTTTTTGCGGAAAACAGTACTGTGCTGTCTACACTGGCCCTTTTGCGCAAAAGTCTTTCGGAAAAAGACTTTTGCCCGAACGGGAGCAGCATAGTATTTCCGGAAAAGCACTGACAATCTTACATGAGATCATCAGTGCTTTTGCGGAAAGTCAAGCGGCCAGTGTAGACAGCTGGCAAGTTTTTCCGCCAAAGCAGATGATTTTGCGGAAAAACTTGCCAGTCTAGTCACAGCCAATGTGTATAAATACAGTGTCCTTGGAATCAGACACTTGAAAATTGATATATTATAGTTTTAATTTCCTGACAAGAACTGTGTGGAAACTGAGCACAATTGCTTTGTTCAATGAGATATCTAAGCCAAAACACAGTCCCATTCCTTACAGATTAATATTTTTTATTTACCTTCATTGTCCCTGAGGGTAAAGTTGGGATTCAGAGAAAGACCTTCTTCAAGAGAATAATGGAATCTTGGCCCATTTGCAGAGCTATCTTTGTCAGTGGCACTGATAGTCTGAATGACCTGAAATTAAAAATAAATAGTGAGTGTGTTGAAATGTCACCTTGCCAAATATTACATGATCTCAACACAATTCTTAATCTTACCTTACTTTAATTTTCTACTTCACTTCAGTTAAATTCAACCCATGACATTACTGGCCCATTAACTTTTATCTAAAATGAAACATTTTAGAACCCATACTATGGGGCAAACGAAAAGCATCCATACTTTATATTAATATAAGTCAAGGCGCTACTACAAAGATTTTCTTTCTCATCAAGACTTCATATTGGGGACTTCCAGAATTACAGTTTTACATAAACTGTGAATTTAGTGAAATTCAGTGAGACAAGATACAGATTAGACAAATATCTCCAATAAATAACATCCTCTGTTTGTTATTCCTATTAATCAAATGCAAAAGAAGTTGACAACTTTTCTATTCTAATAACACTGCTCTACAGCCAAAATGCTTCTGAAATAAATGTAGTCAAACTTTACTATTCTGGGTGTCTGAGAACGAAAATGATGCTTAAAATTTTTGATTGGCTCTAATTTTTAAGATATGCTATTGGGTCAGTATATTAAACCCTTGACTTGCGAATGGCGGAGGATAAGTGAGTTATAAAGGGAAGGGATCTCAATTTAAACCAGAAATGACTAAAATACATCTTTGACTGGATCTATGAATAAATCTATGACTGGGTTTGGACAGTACTTGCTTTTTAGGCAAAACAATGAATGATGCAATCTGAAGCTGGCATTACGTCATACATGATATGAATTGCATCATGTTATTCCTAGAAGTCATGGATGTTTTGCTGCATAATGGCAATGTTTTGCCATCAATTCCAGTTGGTCATGCAGTCCATATGAAGGAAACCTATGACAACATGAAACAACTTTTGAGGTGCATAAACTATGACCAACATCAGTGGCAGCTTTGTGGCGATTTGAAGGTTGTTGCTGTCTTGCTTGGACTGCAGACTGCTGTTTTCTCTGAGAATGGGATAGTCGTGCAAGAGATTCCCACTACATCAAGATAGATTGGCCACTCCGACAGTCGTTGGGGCCTGGGAGGAAAGTGTTCAGCATCCACCACTTGTTGAATCAAGGAAGATTTTGTTGCCACCCTTACACATCAAGCTGGGTCTGATGAAGAACTTTGTCAAGGCCATGGACAAAACACAAGCAGCTTTCAAGTACCTCCATGGAAAATTTCCAAGGTTAAGTGAAGCTAAGATAAAGGAAGGTGTCTTTGTTGGTCCTCAGATTCGTGAACTTCTTCGAGATGATGCATTTGACTATGCACTGCATGGCAAGGAAAAGACCGCATGGAAAGCCTTCCAGTTAGTGGCAATAAATTTTCTCGGAAACAAGAAGGCAGGCAACTACAGGTTGTTGGTGGAAAACCTCCTCAAGGCATACAAAAGCCTTGATTGCAACATGTCACTAAAGATACATTTTTTGCACTCTCATCTAGATTTTTTTCCACTGAACTGCGGAGCAGTGAGCGATGAGCACGGTGAGCGATTTCACCAGGACATTGCAACAATGGAGAAACGCTGTCAGGGCAAATGGAGCCCATCAATGCTTGCAGACTATTGCTGGACAGTGACAAGAGATGCTCCATTTAATAAATACAAGAGACAAGCCAAGAAGCGCCGAGTAGACACTGAATAGGACTAAACTATGTACATAATAGTTTTTTGCCTTTTGTTTCATAATAAATTTTATTTATATAACCCTTTTGCTGATTTTTAAAGTGTTACATAAACAGGACAGGTGAAATATTATCATGTAAAGCAACCATAAACACATGAAAAGACCTAGGTTTACAATTTATGATTAAAACTCTACTATTTACACAATATACATAGATGTAAAATGTAAACCTTAAATATCTTGGAAACAGTAGCCAATCAGTTGTTTTAATTGTCATATTTGATTTCAGCACATCAAAATACATAATAAATAGCACATTTTATCTCTGAAGCAGACGACTTCTAAAAAATTGTAGACCAGTGTAATGCTTAGGAGAAACAATTATTAAATCGGTGACACTAGCACCATGTTTAAAATCCCTTTTCAGTTCTCAGCATCTAATTGCAAGAGAACAGAAGATGAAGAACAACCACCATAACTGGCTTTAGTTTTGCTTTCTCCAGAGAAGCATGAAATGAGATATCCCTACTGATTTTTCACACTAAATTCAGTGCAAAGCTTTTTAAATGTATGACTGAATATTTTTCACCTTTCATTTTAATTTTATTGGTGGAACTGGAAACAAAAGTGCCAAAATAATGAGGCAGAAAGACTGTTCTTAAAGTAATTCTGGCTAAGACTGAATTAAGTGCTAGATAGAAATGCATTTTCTTATGAGATTTCCTGCTCAGTTTTTAGATGGATAAATGTCCAAATGTTTTCTGGCTCTTCCAAACTGAACTTAAAGTCTTAACTGTTAGGGCCATTAGGAATGCTATCTTAAAAGCTGAAGTATACAAGAATATCTCAGCAAGTTGAGAATATTATACACCGTGTGCTTAAAAGAAGCACTTGGGATCTTTTTCAGGGGGATATTGAGCATACATAGATCAATCAATACTTTATCATATGTATGGGTATGACTACACTGCAAAGTTAATTCAAAATAACAGCCGTTATTTCAAATTAACTTTAATAGCATCTATACATGCAAATCGCTATTTCGAATTTAATTCGAATTTGGTAAACCTCATTCTATGAGGAATAACGCCAAATTCAAAATAGCTATTTTGAATTAAGTGCTGTGTATACATTACATTTGAAATAGGGAACCTCCAGCCCTTCCCAGGGAACCCTGGTGGCCACTCTGTGCACAACCAGGAAAACTTACTCTCCTCTCCCCCAGCCCTGGAGCCATTAAAGGGTTAGACCCTGGCCACAGTGCCGGAGCCAGCTCCAAGCCTCCCTCCCCACACGATGTTCCCCCTTCACTGGGGTCAGCTGAGCTGGTTACCAGGGTCCCTCTGTGCAGCCCCTTGTCTGTCATCTGGCCAGAACTGGCCGTGTCCTCTCCTCAGGGCTGGGATCACCAGGGTCCCAGACACCGCGGCTCCAACTCCGGGTGTTTTCTGACACATGATCTCCGCACTAGATGGAGGAATGTGGTCTTCTATGGCAGGATAACTGCCAGCCTGGCCACCAAAGGCCACATGCGAACCCAGGAGCAAGTTGGCATGTAACTCGTTGGTCCGGCGAGACCCCCAACCCTGAGCCCTGAGCTTCCCCTCCTGCTTCTTCCCCTTGATTCCCCCTTCCAGCTCCCTCCTTCCAGGTTTCCCCATCCCCTCTCCCACCCTCTCTTCTCCCGCCTCCGTTCCCCAGTCTCGTCAGAGTTTCATTTCTCCCTTTTCCCCTGAGTTTTGTTAAACAAAGAGAGTTTGTGTTCATGAAAATACATGTATTTTATTTTATATCAGGAAAGGGGGTTGGAGAGAGGTAAGTGGAAGGAGGTGAGGGAGGAATGGGGTACAAGCCACCGATGGGGAGGACTTGGGTGGCTCTGCGGGCTCCTCGGGGTGAAAGCTCTCCTAAATAAACCCAGTTTCTATTTTTGAACATATGTGTCTTTTATTTGACATCAGGAAGGGGGGCTAGGGAGGGGTAAGTGGAAGGACATGAGGGAGGAATGGGGCATGACCCCACAGTGGGGAGAACCGGGGAGGCTCTGAGGGGTGGATGCTCTCCCACAGGGCCTCCTGGATCATAACAGTCCCCCAATGGGCCCCCTGGATGGCAGCCTGCAGCAAGTGCAGCTGGGCTAATGACAATGACCCCACAAGACACACCGGCGTGCCCAGGGATAGCTCTGGCTCCATGTGGCCAAGAGCTGTGGTGTCCTGAGTGCAGGCACTCAGGGCACTCCAAGACAGGACTGCTTTGCTGTCCCTCATCAAGGTAGACAAGAAAGCAGGGAACCCTGAGAACTGTCTGTCCGGGGTGGGGGTAGGGTCCCTTTAAGCACGGAGCTCAGTTAGCCTCGGGCAGCAGCCCCACACGTTAAGTTCTGACCTGATTCCTTGCCGTCACTGGTTCTGGCCAGCCTTAACTTTGGTTCAGGGTCCACTCAGTGTGGACGTGCTATTTCGAAATAGTTTTTGTGTATAGATGCATTATTTTGAATTAGCTTAATTCGAATTAACTATTTCAAATTAAGTTAATTCGAAATAGCTCTGTAGTGTAGACATACCCTAAATGATACATTACATGCATGCACATGCGCATGTGCGCGCACGCGCGCGCGCACACACACACAGACACACGGACACTCCATCTTGTTGTTACCAATAGTTGTTCCCCCTAACTACACTGGCCAGGTGAGTTAGATAGGGGAGGGGTGGAGCCGGACTCCTGCCAATCCAGATCTATGCTCCGATGATGACAAGAAGCAAAATCCAGAGTCCCGCTGCAAGATGCCTCCTACTTATCCCCCTCATGCAGCCAGTTAATCATCACCTCGCCTTTTTTAATGCTGCTTCAAGGAGGGTCCTTCTAAGGGCAGGCACTTGCTGCTTGACTCCCAAGGCCGTCTGTATATCCAATCTTCTTTTCAATGAGCTCACTTCAGTAGTCTTGGATCTGGCTCCCAGCCCCTCTCCATCCTTGCAACTGCTGCTGGAGGTGCTCAACTTTCAGGCCTTCTCCATTCACACCTCATTCATTTCAACAGGGCAATCAATGAAAGGGGAGAGATCTATTTTACTCCTAGAAAAAGACATTTTCCTATTCTTAAGGACTATAACATAAAGGCTACGTCTACACTGGCATGATTTTCCGGAAATGCTTTTAACGGAAAAGTTTTCCGTTAAAAGCATTTTCGGAAAAGTACGTCTAGATTGGCAGGATGCTTTTCCGCTAAAGCACTTTTTGCGGAAAAGCATCCATGGCCAATCTAGATGCGATTTTTTGCAAAAAAGCCCCAATTGTCATTTTTGCAATTGGGGCTTTTTTGTGGAAAACACTACTGTGCTGTCTACACT